TTAATGTAGCCATCAAGGCCCTTTGTCATCTTACCCCTGTGTGCTGCCCTTCCATCCTTACCCACTGCAGTCACTGTCTGTGTTGTCTTTAAGTTCCTTCTGGTCGTGCAGTGAGCACAGCTCCTGCTCACCTCAGGATATTTACACATGCAGTGCCACCTTCCTGGAATGCCATCATTCCCCTTTCTTTTTGGAGTTAACACCTATAATTCCTTTAGACTCAAGATTAAACAGCTGATCCTCCTCACAGAATCTTTCCCTAGTGTCCCAACTTGGGATAAGAGCATGTTCCCATATACCCTGTGCATCCTCTGCCATGATGCTTGCATAAATTTGCATTATCATTGCATATTTAATTAATTGTGATTAATGCTATTTATCTCCTTCACCGGACCAGAAGTTCCTTCAGACAAGGGCCATATTTATTTTATTCAGCTGAATTCCTATCACAATGCGTGAATTTCTATTTCTCTTGCTGTTTAGCAAACTATTCTAAAACTTTAGAGGCCTGACATAAACATTTCATTTTATTGAAAGTCCCATGGGCCAGGAATTCTGAAGGAATTCTGCTGGGAAACTCAGCCCAGCTGAATGGCTCTAGTTGCACTGCTGGAGCTGGAAAATCTACTTCCAAGCACGTTTCTTCACTCATATGTCCGATGTCCCCTACGGGTCCCATGTCATTCACACATCTCTCATCCCCAACACATCTGATTTCCCTCACTGCTCAGACACTCCTCATCCATCTCATGTCCCTCATGCATGCACCTGACGTCTTCATGGATCAGATGTCCCTCATGTGCATCATGTCCTCATATGCAAAATGTTTCTTCTGTGTCTCATGATCCTTAGAGTCCTGTCTTCCAGGGTCTCATCAGCTAGCCCCGGCTTCTCATAAGAGGAGATCTCAGGGTAGTGGGACTTCTTATGTGGCAACTGGCACCCAAGAAGGCAGGACAAGGAAGTGCTGGGCCAGTTATAAATGACACTCAGAACTGGGACACGACCTTACTTGTACTACATTCTATTGCTCAAAGCACAAGGTCTTTCCAGAGTCAAGACTGAAGAACTTCCTGTCCTGGAAGAGTGGAAAATTTCTCATTTCAAAAGAGCATTTGGAACGAGAGATATCATTACAGACATTTCACAAAATGCAAGGTGCCACGGCCTTAGCCATAGTTATCTCCTATTAGATATGCATGCCTTAAAGTGGAATCTTAGAGTATAAATCATGTTATACGTTACCTGAGCTCTTACCGTGTGTGATCTCTGTGGTCTTTACCATAACAGGCACACAGTAAAAGTCTAAAGAATAAATTTATTTATGACTTTTAAATTTATTAGTGACATATATAAAAAGTAGAATACACATTAATAAAAAAGTACCGAACTAAAGCCATTATAACACTGCAATATTAACTAAATAAACACTGACGACCTGGATTATTATCAATAGTGCAACTTTGGCATTCTAATGACTTTTGGGGTATTCCATTTTTGTCTAAATGGGGTAAACTAGGTGACCCAATAGTAGGAATCTTTCTTATCTTTTTTTTCCGACAATAACTCTGAACATGATATAATTAAACTCATGCACATATGTTGTATCCACGTGTCTGGTACAATTAAAGTTTACTGGAGTTCATACTTAGTAAGAATCTCTTCAAAGGTAAAAAGCATTTTTCATGTATGCAATAGAAATTTACTGATATCTTATTAATATAGACAAATTGAGCTAACTGTATCATTAACAGTTAGCTCAATTTGTAAATCATTGAGCTCAGTTAGTAAATCACTGAGGCTACGCACCAGTCAGTGTAAGAAAAAAATCTCGAAGGTATGCATTTTCCCCCTTTTGTCTTTTGCCTGGTAAATGCAATGTGGTGAACTATATAAAAACCCGTTTTCATAAATTAATGACATCATTCTACTTTTTTCTCTGAACATGTCTATGGAGGCATCATCTTTGCAGGAGCCTAGAGTATTGTGATTCGCAGTCAGACTCTGGTACATTATTTCAGGAGATGCTGAAACCCCTCAGGGGGAGAAATCCAGAGGGTTGAGGTTCATTTGCGACAAGTCTCACTCGAGTGCAGCATCTTGAAATAGCTTTTTGTTTTCAAATAGAATATATTACATATTTCAAACTGTACGTGTTTATCACACATTCCCCGGGCTTCCCTTATTTGCAGATGGTTTGAATACATTTTTCTGTCTTTCCTCAACATTTGTACAGGGTGGTTGTAGTTCAAAACCAGCTCTTGTTTAACATGAAGATATTTTTGCTGTAGAGAACGTGAATTATCCAAACACAACAATGCTGGCATCCTTTCATAGTGAAGTTGGCCATTCTGCGTCTTTTTATTGATGGCAAAATTGTTCCCTTTATGCTAAAAAGTCTTACATGTCTTTTTTAAAAGATGTTTCTTGTGGTATTTTGGATACATATGCTGACAAAGGCTGTAAATTAACTTTTAAGTGCGGTGTTTTATTGCATTCCGAATGAAACAATGGTTTTCCTCCTGTGGGTAGGATACACTCCATATTGAAACGATTATCCATTTTAATCTCTTAAATAACTTCAGCTTTGACACATTTTTCATATTTCTTCTGGTGCCACACACAGACACATTAAAAACCACCCAGAAATGAAAAATCCTGCATCACAATGAAGAATTCTGAGTGTGTATATATCACATATATGGACACACGTAACAATATGCATTTGCACACATATATGTGTACATAGACACACAGTTTTTCAATGTAATGTGATTTTTTTGTATTTGTAGAGTTTTTAATGCATCTGCACGTGGCAAATATCTCTCCTCTCCTTGCAATTATACACACACACACACATAATAAAATATGTATTTACATTTATGCATGCGTGGGTAATGATGCCATTCTTGGAAATAAAAATTAGTTTCCAATTCTACACTTGATATACACTAGCTGTGGCGACTATGGCAAGGTTTTCCATTGCTCTGAATGTTAATATCCTCTTCTGTAAAACAATAATTTAAAAAGTAATTCCGAAAGTTGTTGTGGGAATTAAATGAGTTAACACTGTAAACTGTGCTTAGCTACAAAATCAGTGCTCGCTAAGTGAGTTAATTGTAGCATTTTCATAATCATTTATTTTTAATATTTTCCATTTACATTAATGAAACAGGCTTATTGAAGTGTCTGAATTCATTGGGGATAAAAAGCAGTAAACATTTTTCTTCAAAACTGAACTTAACTTTTCTCTCTCTTTTGTAGAGATCTTTACCAGATCTGCATGGTTTTGATCTCAGTTTGATCTTTTAAGCAAACCCTATATGGTTTTAATCTTAGTGGAATCTGGACCAGATCCTGTATGTTTATTTTTGTTTGTTTTCTTTTAAGACCCAGTTTTGTTAATTTTAAAACTTAATCACACATTCCCAGACAGCCTTTGGAAAACGCACTTGTCCGTGGCTACCGTGGAATGGCATAAGGGGGCATGTTCTGCTTTTAACCACCTATCTCATCCTCCTGCCTCTTTCCGCTTCATTCTCCTAGGTGGGGAGGTGGGAAAGATGGAACAGAAAAAGGAAACTGGATAAAGATCTAATTTTCTTCTTAGTTAACTCTACTGACTATTCTATCTCATTGTACTCTATGTAATGAGAGTAGCAGGTGGAGGGCACCAGCACTCACTCACCCCACAGATGAGAGCCTCCATCCTGGGCAGTATCTGTAGTCATTTGTAGTTTTGGAATGATTCAGACGTATCTTCATGTTGACTACCAGTTGGTGGCATTTGTACCTTTTCTCTTCTCCCAAGCCAAAGACATCACCAGCACCAGTGCTCAGGTTGGCAGGTGTGTGTGGAATCCACCTGTCTATGTCTCAGGAGTGCAGAGTTTGATGAGGTATTGCCATCCCTTTGCTACTTGAGAGTCCCCCACTTTGTCCTCTCTCTAACCTAGCTTGGGACTGTAGATCAAGTCCCTTACCAAGCAGTCCTCAAGCAGGAATCACCTTCTTGCAGGCACTCTGCTGATTTAGGAAGTACCTTTTGGTATTCTTCTTCCTTAGGAGTAACCTCTTTCCACTGAGGTCTACATGCTTTCTACTTTCTCAGTCATCTCATATTCACTGTGGTTCGTGGTCTTGGTGGTGTGAGTGGAAAGACTGCTTTCAATTGGTGGCGTCCTTCAAGTCTGTGAGGAGATGGTTGAAACCAGCTATTGTGGACTTACATTGTGGATGCTACTTCATTGTGTTTTCAGCTTTGGTTCCTAATGAATTCCAAAACATCAGAAAAAACACCTTTAAACGCTGTGTCAGGTAGAATAAGAATGTACATGGTAGAGTTTAAAATAGCTAATAACATTAGTGGAACTTTGTAAGTGAGCAAATTAGAGAAACATTGTTCTTGGCTACCATAACCTTTAAAAAAAATAGGGTAAAATCTAAAGGAAATTGTGTCATATGCTGAATGTGTAATGTTTTTTAATCCTAAGAAATTCTACCCTTTATAGTCAAGATAAAATGACTTCATTTGCTTGGAAATGAACTAATAGGAATGGCAATGAAGGAAAAAGACAGAAACATGTTTATAGATCAAACTGTTTCAGGACCACTGTTCATTGTCTTCTTAATAATAAACTGCCAGTAATATTTGAAACACTTTAGGATAAATACATAAGCCTATGCTCCAAAAATAAGTATTACTTCTCCTTCTTTAACTGAGCATAATCCAAATGATAAGACATAAGAAGACTATAGAGAGCTGAGTATATTTCTATTAAACTTGAGTCAATAGGTGGCCTCGGGAGGGCCTCTGCTTGACAGGCGCAGTTCAAAATAAAATCAAGCTTAATCAGGCTTCGATTTCCAGTTGCTTTTCTGACCAATTTAATTCAACAGAAGCAAAGATTGAATCAGCGTGCCTGTGGATTTTTGGTTAAATTGTCCTTTCTGCCTTAAATAATGAGCTGAGAGAGACTTGTTCATTCCTCTTCTTGCAGACGACAGCCTGTGAGTCCCCCCCCACCCCCACGGCCGATTTCCCCGCCACATACCTACGGCTACATTTCGGGCCCCCTTGTCTCCGACATGGATACAGACGCCCCAGAAGAAGAAGAAGACGAGGCCGACATGGAAGTGGCCAAGATGCAAACCAGAAGGCTTTTGTTACGTGGGCTTGAGCAGACCCCTGCCTCGAGTGTCGGGGACCTCGAGAGCTCTGTCACGGGATCCATGATCAATGGCTGGGGCTCGGCCTCAGAGGAGGACAACATTTCCAGCGGACGCTCCAGCGTTAGTTCCTCGGACGGCTCCTTTTTCACTGATGCTGATTTTGCCCAGGCAGTGGCGGCCGCAGCTGAGTATGCCGGTCTCAAAGTGGCGCGGCGTCAGATGCAGGACGCAGCCGGTAAGTCACACCCGGGTCTCCAGGCGGGACAGGAAAGCGTGGCGTGGATCTGGCTGTTGCTGATTCTCTCCTATGATCTGTGTCCCATATGAAACACGACTGTCATTTCAGTCTTTATTTATTTATTCATATTTTTGCTACCTAAGGAAACCGAGGTCCAAGAATTTGACTTAGTTGGATTATTCTCTTTTTTTGACAAGGCTTTCAAAATTTTCTATTGCGCTTTGATTTAAAAAAATCTTATATAATAGGAGTGATAGGAAGCTCCCCACTTCCTATCACTGATAGGGCCACCTAGGGAGGTCCTCATGTTCTGGAAAGCCATAGCAAATTGATATCATTTCTTTAAGCTATCCATAATACAGTTAATTAAATGAAGTTTGCATTTTTAAATGTATACGACATATAATTCCTTTAATGTCAAAAGTCATCAAGATAAAATGTATTGGTATAGTGCTCTTATCCCATTTAATTTGAAATTCTCCAGGAAAAATAAATAGTAAATATCCACACGGGCCACTTACTGGAAAATGGGCTTTTTCTCCTGAATCCCTTTTCTCTTCCCGTGCTTTCAAATTAGAATATTAACTTAATTAGGCAGATATAAAGATGTGTGTAACGTGCGTACATTTTGAAGCACAAATATTCCATACTTAAAGTAAACATTTTCAACTTAATAATTGGGAGAGCCAATTAATCCAAAGTCTTATTTTATTTTCTTCTGCTTTCCCTTGTCCCTACACAGCCTAAATTTGATTACTATAGAGCCATTTGAGTATCTTAACACATTTTTACTTACCTCCTCTTCTTCCGAACCCTGTTTAGAAAGCAAATAGAAATTTTTAAAATCTTAAATATAAAACATTCATTTATCATGATTTCTATTTCTGTGGATTGAGTAGATACACATATACATTTGTGTGTGTGTGTATATATGTATATAAGTAATGTGCATATGTGGGGTGTGTGTGTATGTGAGTGTATATGAGTGTGTTCATTTCTGGTAGCCAAGAAAATACAAATACTACAGCAGAATAACAAAAATAACATGGTCAGCAAGAAAGAGACACAGATCAGAGAAAGAAAAGATCATCACAACAAATTGATAGTTGGTATTTTGTTGTTTGACATGTCTTTGCCTTAGTTTAATAACTACCAATTGGTGGTTTTCCATGTTCTGTGCGGATATTGGGTTGGCTATTTTTTTTTTTATCAGCATAGAAGGTATTCACAGAATATTTAAATTTTATTATGAAGTCATCTCTGTGTTATTTATCAAGAATGTGTTGCAAGAAAAAATGTCTAGTATCTCTCCACTTATTATTGTTGAATGTATATTTATTCTCACCAGGTTTGCATTCAAGACGTTCAAATATCCTTTATAGCCCTCGAGTAGCTGTTCAATGTAATAAACTATGCAAACCTAATTATCTTTTAAAACAAATAAATAACACCTAACTTTATGTGTAGTTTTGTTTCTCCCTTACAGTTTAATCTTCTGTTAGAAAATTGCATGAAGTTAAGCATCTTAAGCTGCTGCTTTCAGACTGCATTAATTAATTAATTAATTAATTAATTTTTTGAGACAGAGTCTCACTTTGTCACCCTGGGTAGAGTGCTGTGGCGTCACAGCTCACGGCAACCTTAAAATCTTAAGAGATTCTCTTGTCTTAGCCTCCCAAGTAGCTGGGACTACAGGCTCCTGCCACAACACTGGGCTATTTTTTGGTTGTAGTTGTCATTTTGTTTGGCAGGCCCAGGCTGGATCTGAACCCACCAGCTTAGCTCCCATGTATGTGGCTGGCGCCTTAGCTGCTGGAGCTACAGGTGCCAAGCCTCAGACTGCATTTAGAGTGTGTTTCAGTTCAGTGAGTCAACAAAACACAGAATTATCTTGAAAATTCATCTATAAATGACCTTATGCCTCAGGATTTATGAGAAGTTGATGGTCATACACAATAGAATGAATAATGGGTTCAGTCTCAGCCCTAATTCTCTATTTTCATGGATATGTAGCTTAGCTTATGTAGCTCTTTAATTATAATAGACTCCATCATAGCTAAGGAGAGTTTGGTTTAATATTTTATCATATTGTAATTTAGTGGCACTCTTGTTTTTATTTGTCTCACAATTCTAATGAACTAAACATACATTGGCTTCTGTTACATTGGTCTTTTTAGGACATGGTGGTGCTTGTCATGTGACTTGAAGTTAAAAATAAAGGAATAATCCGATCAACATTGCTTCTTCCTTTACTGCATCAATGTCTATAATTCAGTGTGTTTCGGTTAGCATCTCTGAATCTGTTGATTTCACTACAGGAGGCCACTCCTGTTTATAGCTGAAAGTCACATTATCTAGGTCAATTTGAAGTTTCTTGTGGCACAATAGAAAGTTCTAGATTTGTGACTAAAAACTCTCTAGAAACCAAAACAATGAAGGTCAAGCACAGCTCCAGTAAGCTCGCCATTCCATTGCCCTTCCTGTGCCAATCCATTGCCATTAAATACCTTGCAACTGTTGTAATACAACATCTGTGTAAGACAGCCGAAGAATTTGAAAGTCCCCAAATATATTTCTGATTAGTAAATCCAGTTCCCACTGGATCATAGGAAAATTATTCCTCCCAAAACCAACAATAAAAACTCTGCTGCCACCACCAAAAACAGAAATCTTAGGAGTGTCACCTTAAGTATCTAAAATAGGCAAAAATAATGAGATAGAAAAAGGATGTAACTTTTGGCACACTCAAATGAGTTAACTAAATCCATTTCAAACTATCTAAAGAAAATACCTCAGAACATATTCAGATAGTAGGGGTCTGCCTTCAAGGAGTACCATAAATATATATTTAATTAAAATAGGGATGTCAGTAGGACCATTTGTTCTTAGAACATGAATTTTTTAAGAACTCTGCTCTTCCTCTTGAAAAGCAGCAAACATTGACTATATAAACACAAAATTAATTACTATGTTTCATCAAGAATGACATTTTAGGAAAGCTGGTTGAAAAAATAATCGGCATGTTTTTCTTTAAGAAATAGGTATAACGACCTTTAACAGAATAAAACAATTATGGTTAAAAACAACAATAAAAAAAAAAAGTGACAATGATTTCAGTGTGTTTTCTCTTTGGGGTAGCACAAGCAGTGTGACAAAAAGCCTATTATTCATTGGAAGAGCTTATTTGAGCTCTTTTTTTTTTAATTAGGGCTGTTTGTAGCTTTAATGTTTTGTTTTTGTTGTTCTTGTGGTAATTAAAATTCATTGATGTGTTTGGCTCTGATTTCCTCTTCTCAGGCCGCCGACATTTTCATGCATCTCAGTGCCCCAGACCCACAAGTCCTGTGTCTACAGACAGCAACATGAGTGCCGCTGTGATGCAGAAAACCAGACCAGCCAAGAAACAAAAACACCAGCCAGGACATCTGCGCAGAGAAGCCTACACAGATGGTAAGTCCATTGAAACGGATGAAAACGTCTATGAATCTCGCCTCTGTCCCCTGCCTCTCTAAGACTGGAAAATGCGTTCACTGACATTAGAAATTACATTAAAAATGTATTAACAGTCAGCGTCTTATTACTTGCAGGAGTGATCTCCTTCCCCATCTTATCAGTCACCTCCTCTTTCAGTTTCTTAATAAGCTGGTTATTTAAAACACTAAAAGAATGTAGAAGTTTAGTATTGTTGAAAGGATATTTATAGTTTCAAATGTATGGACATTCTTGTGGTTGAAGTCACAGCTGAGATTTAACCTTTATCACAGTCATTGATAAATCCTCCCAAGTATCCTCATTTTCTTTCTCCCCCCCCCGTTTTTTTTTTTTTACAATTTTGCATTCAAATAAAACCCATCTGAATATTAATTATAACTAGACTGGTGTTACAAACAGTGATTTTGGACACCCAAAGGCAAATGGAATCATCTTCCTTCATGCCTTCACGTATACTGCTGATTCGCACTGAAGAGGGAACACCGGCATTCGCCAGAGAGGGTGGGAGGATGATGCAGGATCCTGATGTTGTCTAGAGAAAGCCTCTAATGAAAGTGCCTCAGGTGGCCCAGCATTTATTAAACCGCCACCGTCTCATCTTATAAAACAACCCCAGGGGCTTTGTTGGAAATTCATGTAAGATAAATTCTCTAAGACTCACCCATCTTGTCAAGTTTGCTAAATTTGCAAAAGGGGCGGAGGGGAGAAGGGGGTGTCGCCAGCACAGTTTCCCCACCTCCTGGTCCGCTGCAACTGCAATCTGATTACGACTTTCATTACCAGTCAGCAATTTTTCAAAAAGGGCATCATTTTCCATTATCATATGAAAGCCTAATATTATAGATCCTTATCCAAGGTTGCAGGGAAGGTTTTTGAGGTACTTGTCCCTGTGATTCCTGCCACTTGACAGAAAAATTTAATACAAAGCTCACAGCATGGTGAGCAAGAGTAATTTTGCAGTGAGTAGCTGTCCATGCTATTATCTGTACTTTATGCTGAGTATTTTCTCTCCCCAGCATCTATCTGATACTAGACCACATTAAATACTGGCGTGACACAGCGCACCTGGGCCTCCTGGCTTCTGCCCAGGACTCTTTGTCAGTGAAACTGAGCTGTCAGAAGATTATCTGATTCTGAAGGGTTATTACAGTGGCTTCGTGCATGTTTGCCTCTGTGTAGGGACAAACACTAGGTGTAAATCCCCAAACTCTACTGGCAATTTTACATTTATGGCACCCCTCTAATGGCATTTTTCAAGTTTTATAGCTGTTTTATCAATTTTTATTATCTAGAAGAGAATGCTTCTAACTGGAAAACTGACCAGACATGAAGACTGGATGTAAACACATTTGAATTGAATATATTTGGGGGGAAATCTGGCTTTGTGTAGGTCTTCCCGTCTCTTATTTATACTTGTTTGGAGGAGATTCTGGCATTGACTGATGCTTTAAAAAAATGTTTTAATTGATGTAAAATAAAGAATATTGTATTACAGTTATACACTATACTGTGCTTGGAAATTGATACCTATATTTATTAGTCTACGTTCTAGAGTATTTATTGCAGTGTTTAATAATTAAATATTAATTCTAACTAATCTTTGAATAGGAACTATTAAATTGAAGGAGGAAAACTCAAGTTAACTTTTTTTAGTTAATTTAAGAAATAGCCAAAGAACTACACTGAAATAACTGTAAAGCCAAAAGTTAATATGAAATATTACTTGGATTCTAATTACTCATTTCACGAAAGTGATTATGCAAAGTCATCACAGTATACACTGCAATATAGAAGCCAGTAATTATTTTCTCTAAGTAAAAAAAAAATAGATAAAATGGAGAAATGACTAAAGATATTTTTAGATTACAGCATTTATTGCCTTTCAACATTTTGATAACCATTCACTTTTTAATTATGTTTATAATACTAACACATCTTGAATTCTATGTAGATGCTATTTGGTATAAGAAAAACATAACAAGACTATTTCTTATTTTATACATTATCTCATAATGAATATTAATTAATTGAAATCATAAATGCAGAAGCTTCTTAATGCATCAAATAAAAGACATGAATACACTCTTGAAAGCAGTGATCATAATGTAGAAACAAAAGCCATTTTAACAGAAATTATGTATATTATCTTAGTATGGGTACATAATGGTTGTTTGTCTTTACAGGGCACATGCGATGTTTTGATACAGGTATACAATGTGAATTAATCAAATCGGGATAATTGAGGTATCCATCATCTCAGGCATTTAACATTCATTTATGTCAGGATCATTTTAATTCTACCTTACTAGTTATCTTAAAGTATACCCTAACTTATTTCACAGAAATTATTTTCTCAAGTTACTATACTGCATTTTTTGAGAAATTTGTGCAATTTATTAAAGAGGAGTAAGGAGAGGGAGGAAGAATTTAAAGAGCTCCAAATCGTTACAGTGTGAATTAAACGTACTAGTAAAACATGGAAGACTTTGCGTACTTTTTTTTGTCTTTTTAAGGAGTACAATGTAATGACCATCATGGATGAATTTGATTACTGTCAATAAACCTACGTGAACTATGTCCAGAATATGGTGTATCAGGGTTGAGTTTGTAGCATCTTTTCCTTATAAATTTTGTTCAATTTATGAATTTCCTCTGCAGACTTTTTGTAAACTATATAAAGGATGAAGAATGGCTCTCTGTGTCTGCGATATCCTTGCCAATAATTTGCGATGATCCTTATTAGTCAGCCCCTGTATCAGCATGCGAGGGTGGCCACAAGAAGTACCACAGACTAAGTGGCTTAGAGAACAGAAATGTATTCCTTCACAGCAGCATTGGTTCCTTCTGGGCCTCTCTCCCTGGCTTATAGATGGCCGTTTTCTCCCTATGTCTTCACATGATCTTCTATCAGTGTTCGAATTTCTTCTTTTAGTTAGATTAGTTATGTTGGGCAGGGCCCACCCTAGGGACCTCATTTTAACTTAATTACCTCTTTAAAGACTCCAAATACAGTCACATTCTCGGGTACTGGGGGTTAGGAGTTCAACATATGAATTTTGAGGGGACGCGATTTAACCCATAACAGCTCCCTAGCCCCTAAGGCGTGACGTTGTGGCCATGCCTTGCTCTACCGTCCAATACAAGGCCTCAAAAACACCCTGGAAGTCCTCGATGCAAAGCGGGCTGCATGCCGCAGTCACACAGACAGGCGGCCTCTAATTATTTATTTAATATTTGCCTCTTACAAATTTAACCCAGAAGAAGAATAGGATTAAAATTTATGAATATTTAACAGTCCATCTTACCAAGTTAAAGCCAAGCATGAGTGCATTTCTGGCACCTTCTATTCAATTCTTCCCCACCCCTCTTTTCAACCTTTTTGAGACATTTACATAGTTGATTTAAAAACCTAATCTATATTATTTCTTCAGCTCTATTTTTCATAAACTATAAATTCACCACCTTCTGTGAAATGATGTTATTTTGACTTGATTTATCATAAATTACAAGGTCTTAGGACCTTAAAAAGTTAAGTAAATAGAGTGCTAAATCTCTATATTCAGTTAATGCTGGAAAAATTGTCCGAGTGCATGTGTTCTGATGTGTTACTTTACGTGCATCATAATGTTAATTTTAAAGTCTTATGTGAAGAATGGGTGTTAATGACTGTATAAACTCTATATAAAAAGGCCCTCAGTCCTATTTGTTAAATCCAATTTATACTCCTCGTGGTATGAATTGGGTGAAAGGACTATTTATCACTATGTGAAATACAAAATTGTATTATACTACAATGATCCTGGGTTTGACTTCGTAATCATTTTATAACACTTAAGAAAAAATGTATTTGTCAATCTGTTCACATAAGATATTAAACCTGGCTTCAGTAACCTCTAATTGTCAGTTAAATACAGTGACAATTACATTTAGGAGTATAGAATTCTGAAAATTATTAATACCATGTATTCTCTTCTCCTGTAATCTGTGTTGTAGATAGCACCTCACCTATCTAGAATAGATTTTGTCTATCTAATAGATTTTGTTTCAAGAATCATATATTCCCAAGACATTATATGATCTTATGATAGTGGTGCTTATCAGCCCTGATATCTGATAAGCCCAGACAGTTTATGATGGTAGTGGCAGTCATCAGCTTCCTGATAACCTGTGTTTGCAATGCAATTTAAGTTTATAGCAAGCAGATAGTGCCGAAATGAAACTACGGTCCCTCTCTCTGCTTCGTGGTATGTCCTAAATTAGACTTTCCTCCTCCTTTGACAGCCAGTCCCAGACACAGTCTCAGTGTAGAATCACTCTGCCGTAAGTCTGTCTTTTGGCTTTAGGCTACTCAGTACAGCCTGTTTTCTAACTCTTTTTTCTTATCTTTAATAAATAAGTATCTGATGATGGATGACTCTCCCCACAGTACTTATTTTCATGTCTTGTTTTTGAAAAGTCTATTAAAGTTACAAAGAAAGGAAAATCATTCACTAGTGACAATGGTAATCTGTGTCACAAGACAAAAAAACTTGATTTTGTAGAATCAGGAGGAAATTAGTATTGTTGGCTGTACTTTGGCCATCATTTGAGCTAAAATAGTGAGTCTATTTATATGATACTAGAACATGGTAAGCCATGAAAACCACCAACCCCTCCCCCCAAAAAAACATCTCTTTTTGTAATAGGTTCCTAAGTAAAATGCTGGTAGTAAGACGGCAACTCAAGCCTTCTGCTTTCAAAGACTAATATAAGGAATTCTAATGCCTCAATTTTATCATATAATATCAAAGGAAAATTAGTTTCAAAATATGTATATCTATTTGTGGAACATAAAAAGGCTTCATTCATTTAAAATATATATATATATATATATGAAAGAATGAGAAATGCTAGGCTAAAACTAATGTTTTTTAGGACCTTTCATTTGCTTTTATAGTAAAAATCTTCAAAACTCTATTATCATATTTATTTAAAAGTTTCTCATTATGGTATATGTAAATGATAGCAGCCCATCTTCAATTATAGGAAACTATCTGGAAACAAACTAAATACTCCACTATTGGGATTGTCTAAATAAAGAAAGATGTTCATAGAACAGAACGTTATGCAAACTTTCCAAGAAAAGAGGGAAAGCAGTATGTACACATATGGAAATAGATGTAGCCACAGGGTTAGTTGAAAAGTCCAACCCCACTTATGTCAATACCGTGCTTGTATTTGGTACTTTCTTCAGGCCACCACATACAGATGGGCAGATAGGCACCACGTAAAACCCTAGATGTGTCCATTTTACATCATCCTTAACATGAGTCAAGGACTTTACGTATAAAAATGATTTGAGGGATAAACTATATAAAACTATTCAAACAATTATGCATAATCAAATATTGACAATATGAAATGGAAATAAGATATAAGAGGTTATCCTTTCAAGTTCAAACCATTTTGTACCATGTTTACATATTTTTAATTGAAAATCATGAGGCTAATTTTATAATACAAAACATTTAAAAGATGTTTCACATTATGATTTTTAGTTGATTCTACATTTCACTGTCTAAATGTGAAAACATTACCATTTCTAAAGGCATGAGTAAAAGCACAGCTGTGCTGATAAGTCTCAAATCTCTGTCTCTGGTTTTGGCCTCTCTGGAAGGGCAGGTTTACATACGATTACCTGTTGAACATCGTTCCTCTGGATATTCCAAAGGCTCTTCTTACTCACTTTCCTGAAACTTAACTCATATCCCCTTTACCAGTACATCACTTTCTCATTTCTACATTTCATACCTTCAGTGGTGTTACCACCATTCTCTTAGTCAACTATGACCAAAATCCTAAAAGTCATCTTAGATTCTTTCTTCCATACTATATTCCATTGATCATTAAATAATAATGATGTTTTTTCTTCCTTATCTCTCTCAAGCACCTCTTCTACTACCCATCTGAGCAGGCACAAATACCACTGAATGCCTTATCATTAATTATGTGAGTGAGCTATTATAATTTATGACCACTTAACCTGGTGAAGCAAAGCTTTGCCTTTTAACACATCCTCCATACTGTAGCTGTAACACATAAACTTAGCATCTATTCATACTCTCCTACTAACTTACCAAATATTATTAGGATACATACTTCTTTTCTCCCTGCAGTATATTTAGAGTCATTTTAAAAGGTAACACTGATTAAAGGAAATAGATTTTCTAGATATCAAATTGTATGCCTACTTTCACTCTGAAGTATATCTGATAACAAGAAATTAAATTCCATGTTATATTACTACATGGCTATAACCATAACTGTAATATATATGTATAAAAGAAATTAATTTATATTTATACCAGTGACTGTCTGGTTTAAAACCTTTGTGTTCACATACAGAGTGAAGAGATCTTATCAATGAATGATAGATTATAAATATTTGATTGATGGAGTAGCATGAAGAACACTGAACCGGAAATTGTGAATCTAAGGGCATTAGCCCAGATTGTTATTATAATTAGCTTTGAGATTGGACAATAGCTTATAGTCTATGTGTTTGAGTTTCCTTATCTACAAAGTGAGAAGGGAATTAGGTTAGATTAGAGATAGCAAATAGGTCTCAACTCAAGTGCTAACCTCAATCAACTTGAAGTGGTTGTTGAGGGAGGGAGGGAGGAAGGGTATACATCTGGGACCAACAATGTTATCCTGAAACCAGTTGGAAGGTCTCCCCTGGTCAGGGGAATGGAAGTTACCATACATATGCCCCGTATTAGCTATCCTAGCAGTGGGACAATCAGTTAAGGTCCCAGCTCTACCGTTCGGTACTTCTGTGCTAGATGAGAGAGCCCCTCACACAGCTGCCTTTCTTCTTCCTTGGCTATCTTTGATTGTTCTAGTTCTTTAAGGTACACAAGCTCACCGTTGAGTGTCACTTCGATAGTAAACCTAATATTTGAAGATTGTATAAGAGGCAGACTTTTATAGTCTTTTAAATACTTCTTTTTAGATCTGCCACCTCCGCCAGTGCCACCGCCTGCCATTAAGTCACCCACTGTTCAGTCCAAGGCACAGCTGGAGGTACGTCCTGTAATGGTGCCAAAACTCCCTCCTGTAGAAGCAAGAACAGACAGATCATCAGACAGAAAAGGAGGCAGTTACAAGGGGAGAGAAGTATTGGATGGAAGACAAGTTGCTGAAATGCGAACCAATCCAGGTGATCTCAGAGAAGCACAGGAACAGCAAAATGATGCGAAAGGACGAGGAAACAAGGCAGCGAAACGAGACCTTCCATCAGCAAAGACTCATCTCATCCAAGGTACTAATTTTGTCAAGCTGCAAGTAAGCTAGATAGAACGTATGTTTGCCAAGGCACACAGTTAAGTGCTGTAACACCATAGGAAAGGTGGTCAGATTAAGAAGTTTGCTATCTGATGGAGAAGACAGGTGTTTGCACAAATACTTTTAAAACCATTCATTCCAATTCACTGAAATTTATGATATGGGCAGCAAAGAATTTGGAGTGAGAAATTCTATAATCAATTCTGTGTTTTAGAAAAATAGCTGACAGTACTGTAGAGTGGAGGAAGAGAACAGAATCAGGTTGTTGAAAATATCAGAACATTGGCTCGGCACCTGTAGCTCAGGTGGCTAAGGTGCCAGCCACATACACCAGAGCTGGCAGAATCCAGCCTGGGCCTGCCAAACAACAATGACAACTGCAACCAACAAATACTGGGCATTGTGGTGGGTGCCTGTAGTCCCAGCTACTTGGATGACTGAGGCAAGAGAATTGCTTAAGCTCAGGAATTGGAGGTTGCTGTGAGCTGTGATGCCACGGCACTGGACCCAGGGCAACAGCTTGAGGCTCTATCTCAAAAAAAAGAAAAGAAAATATCAGAACATTACAGTAACAATCTAGGAATAAAATATGAATGCATTAGATTAAAGTAGTGCAAATGAGAAGGCGAGAACAACATACAAAGGTGCTTCAGACAGAGGCCCAATAGGACTCAGGGACTAACTGAATATAGAATGGCAAGTTGAAATAATGAGCAAACAAAAGAAAATTATTCCAGTGTTGATGAGCTGATCCTGTATGACTAGTAGAACACAATTAACCTATTACCCTATGTAGAAAAAAATAGAGAAAAAGCTTTGAATGGATTAATATACTGACAAGAACATAGATATATCAAAAATTAATAAGAATTTAGAGAACTAGGATTAAAGAACAGGAGAAAGAAGGAATGTGAGTACAGAGTGCGTTTCAAAACCCACAGCACAGACTGGTAGTTGTGTGAATTAAAAAGGCTAAAGTATCAGCATTGATATGCTGGTAAATGTTTAGCAATCAGTTCTCTGGGAGGAAAAGACAACAAAACCCTAATTTGTAGACACATGCTTACTTCTGTTGTTAAATACTCCCCAAATGGCTAATTTGCAGCTACCAATGTGAAGTCAGTAGAATCTAGTAAAATGCTGAGCCCGCACTAGCATAGCACTAGTCATGGGTGGTGACACTTCGAGGACAGCAGACAGCGAACTTTCTACCAAGGAAACTGAGATTGCCTGGCCCCAAGATATAGTAATCAAGATATGCAAGTTATTGAAAATACTAAGTATTCTAGAAAAAAATAGAGTGGGAAAATTTTTAAGGGGAAGATATATAAAATGACACAGTAATGAAAATTGGATGTAAACTCAGGTGCAAAAAAAGATTTTACATTATGTTGTTTGTGGGTGGTTTGTGTGTTCCATGAACTGGTTTTGGTACAGTAGTCTGAGTAGATGCCAGATTATAGGGGGATGGGAAAATGAATGGAAATTTTGAAAGGGAGATGACGACCATAAGGTCTTCTCAGAAGGTTGGGATGAGAATGAGAGGTTGGGACAGACTCTGACAGGAAGGCCAAATCAGTGGAAATTTTTCAGGATAGGGAATTTTAATGTTATCACAGAATATCAAGAGGAAACCATTTAAGAGGAGAGAGATACGAACAAAGGATGGTAGTTGGTGGAGGAGACAGGAAAGAGTGATAAGGGAATACTGTGTAGACAGTTACAGGGCACTTCACACTACTGTACCAGAGAGATTTTGGAAAGGTGTGGACCTCTGGTCATTAGCTAACTTCCTTTCAACATGGAGGGCAGTTTCACTTTGTGCTGTGACTGCAGCCTCAACTAACCCAGGCATGAACATAAAAAAGAAATGGTAAGTAAAGCTGTGTGTTTCACACCCAGGACCTTTATTTTGTGACCACAAAGTTTCTGGTGACATCACCACTATCCGAAGTTTGAAAGACTTACTAGTTTGTTTTTATCAGTTAAGCCAAAGTTGATCAGGCATTGAACTTTTGACTCATAGTGACTGTGTTTCAAACAGTGATTCATAAATAGAATGTGATGATGTAAATTGTTTGACATCTATCTGGCTAGAAAGTCTAAACCAATTTTCTGCTCATAAGAAGACTTCATCTAAAGTAGGTGGGATTCCTTGGAAGAAATTTTTAAAAACCTAGAAAGACCTTGCTGTATGTAGAATAAGAATGATGAGATAAATTTTTTTTTAAATCAATCATCAGAAATTTAATAAGTTGTCCTTTATGTTATAAAAATATTTCTAACTAAAGAACTAAGACTAGACTATTAGTCCAGAAGCAAGAAATGTTATTTCACGGAAAGCACTGAGCACTGACATACATTGACCAATTGTTGTTTACAGGTCCTGCTCTTCAAAATTCTTATTTGAATCATAACCCTATGTGTATATGCCATTGAATGATCATTTCTATGCATTGCAATAATTTTTAACCTTCATAATTCAATTTGCATAGTTATAATCAAAGAGCCACCCTGATTTACATTCATGATGAATGGTTATTTTTAATAAAGAAAAGTAGACCTTTAGACTTAAAAGTCTGATCCTTCTGCTAACATTTACCTCAGGTAGTTCTATTTATTTTTACATATGTAACATCTACTGTGTTATTAAGCATGTGTTAAGTTCTTAACTTGTGTTAAGTTCTGAGATTTACATGTAAGCATGAACCTTGACCTCAAGGGGCTTGTCATAAAAGAGAGAGACATACAGACAGATAATACATTAATTCACAGATATTTTCATATTCAATATAACTCTCATGGCACCATGTCACTTGAGAGTCTAAAAGAGGGACAGTTCACCCATGTTTGTGGCAGATGCAGTGTTAAAGATCTCTTGATCCTTCCTGAGATAACTGACATTTGAGTGTTAGAGATGAGGGGTATTTAGCTTGGGAGAGAATAATGGATTGTTTAGACGGAGAAGTCAGTGCAAAAAGTTTGACATTTCATTGAAGAAATTGTAAGAAATTCAATACTACTCATTAATAAAGCTAGCCAAAGGTGATGCTTTTGAGGTAAATGAAGACTTAAGTCATAAAGAACAGGTAAATTATATAAGAGGAAGGTGACCAAGCAAAGACATTTTAGAGAAGAATAAACCAGAAATTTGTTCAAAGACATGTGACAAGAGATATAGAGAATATAAACCAGCTATGGGAGCGGGCATGGGTGAATGGGAAAATTTAAGAAACTTTGTAGAGTTAAAATTATCCTTAATTGTTATATGTTTGAATACGTGGAAAGGGTACACTAAAGGTGTACTCAAAGGTTGTTGAAAAGAATAGAAAAATCTAAAATAATTTGTTTCCTATCATCTTGCAGTCGAATGGACAGTGATTGTGTTAGGTGTTATTAAAGAAAGCAGAGAGTGAAGACAACTCAGGGGAGTGAGCTGATGAGTTCAGTGTTTGACACATTGAGTTTCAGGGACGCTCAAGAGGAGGAGTTTGACTGGGTGTTTGTGGGAGCCTAAGATTTCAGGGCATAGTTCAGAAGTGGAAAATACAAACTAATGATTCAACATGATGCAAATAGCACGTAAAACCACTCATTTGTTCACTCGAAACTATTTATTAGTGACCTGTTGTATTCATTTTAAGGTGGGAGTATATCAGCCCACAAAGCAGATGAAAACACCTGTCCTTATGATAGTTATATTCTAGAAAAGGTTGTCATCTGTGAGCATGGACAAAATCACCTGTGATGAACAGAAAAAAATATATATGTATTTATATATTGGGCAGGAAGTAGAAACCTGTAGGGCATCAACATGTATCTTTCAGTGGGGTACAGAGGGAATGGGAGTAGTGACTACCAAATATTGAATTCAAATTGCTTTTCAAGAGGAATGGCTGAGTAGTGAGTTGAGAATAAATGTTTCGGTTCGTGTAAAGAGTAGGCTTAAGGAGAGAGGGTTTAGCAAGAGACAGATTTTATCATTTTGTCCTTTGACAAACAAAAGTCAATTGAGAGAAAAAGGTTAACAGAACAGAGGCAAAAGGTAATGATCACAAGAGATGGTAGTGCTGAGAAGAGAGGTCGCAGGAGCAGTCGTGACAGTAGACTGTGAAGTTCCTGTGGGTTGGGGGTGAAAATTGAGATGAGTGTAATTAAATGAACAAGATGCCATCAAGGAGGACTCTACTGACTTTGTAGAGATGACTTGGGCCTGACATGAGAATGTTTTGTGTAAAGGTAGAAGAGCAATGACTAAGAACTAATCACCAGTTCTAAGAACTTAGAACTTAGAACTAATCACCAGTTCTATGCACTTAGAACTAATCACCAGTTCTAGGAACTTAGAACTTAGAACTAATCACCAGTTCTAAGTCATTGCTCTTCCACCTTTGCACAAGGAAGAGGAGAGGACATCAGTGGAAGCTTCAGGAGAGGTCAGATTGCACTCAGACAATGTAGATAGTAGAGGAAGTTTGTGGGGAAAGGGGGAAAAAGCTTGTCAAAAAGTTAGTTTTTCGTGTGTTTGGTATCCAAACCACAGACTGGACAGTCTTTGGAAAGAAGTGAGCAACGGATGATTTATCAATAGAAGTAGCTCCAAATTTAAAGCAACATAGAGGTAAAAATTCAGAAGACAGCAATTGACTGGAGTGGGTTGTTTTTGGAATATACAACAATATAACTAGGATATATAAAAGGAGACTTTTGTTTTGTTTTGTTTGTGTTTTTGAGGGGGCAGGGGGAGTCCTGCAGAGTAAACCCAGGCTTGGTTTAGTTCAGTTTTTGTAGTCAAAGGACACTGGGCTTAGTTTATACTAGTTCTTTAAAATAACACTTTATAGATTAGATATAGAGATTTTACTATCTCATCTGTTTTCATATCAGCACTAGGAGTTCCTGAAGCTGTAGATATTATTACTACCTTTTTGGAAAAGTGGAAACTAAAGTTTAAAACAATCCAAGATCATATCATGAACAATGGAATTGGAAGCCAGGTCTAACATCAGGTTTGATTTCACCTCCTTAAGAGATAATGGTCTCAGGGCAGCGCCTGTGGCACAAAAGGGTAGGGTGCCAGTCCCATATGCTGGAGATAGTGGGTTCAAATCCAGCCCCAGCCAAAAAAAAAAAAAGAGAGATAATGGTCTCAACTGAGTTTGAGATGGACAAAAGCACATCAGTGGAATCAACCCAAATGCCCAACAACTGCTACTAGGAAAATAACAAGACTTGTAATTTTGATTTAGATTTACAAGAGACACTGCATTGTTCATTATGCTCATAAAGTGTTTTTATTTAAGTAGACCTCAAAATCACTGATGCTTCCTTATTCAGAATTACAGTTACACCAGATGATGCATTTATATAGTGAAAGTGTGTGGTGCCGTTCACATGTATTCATTATATTTCATTACACAGAGGATATTCTACCTTACTGTAGACCTACTTTTCCGACATCAAATAATCCCAGAGATCCCAGTTCCTCAAGCTCAATGTCATCGAGAGGATCAGGAAGCAGACAAAGAGAGCAAGCAAATGTAGGTCGAAGAAATATTGCAGAAATGCAAGTACTTGGAGGATACGAGAGAGGAGAAGATAATAATGAAGAATTAGAGGTATTTATAATTTTCCCCAGGGTTACCAATATTAGGCTCTAGTTGTTAAATCAGCCTTAAAGTTAGGCACATCCATTGATATGGAGAAATGTTACTATTTTATCACAACATTTTCAGTACCCTGATGTCTGTGATGTCAGAAACTGAAGTTCTGCGAACTTAAGTATTTTCTCAAAATGTGTTCCAAAATTTAACCTGTTAATGGGAGTTTCTTTGTGCATCTAGGGCCCATATACATTTGCTTATTTTCAGGTAAGAAATGTATGTGGAAAACACATTGTTAGGAAATAAGAACTATTGATCTAAATATATTATAATTTGCAGGCTATGAAAGCTATTCATAGTAGGCTATGAAATCCCAGTAAGGTAACAGAGTGAAATGATATGAGTGAAGATTTCAGCCTCTGTTATCTGTCACCCTAGTGATCACCAGGGTAAATTGTCTGATTTGACTATCTTTCACCTTCACTCTTCTAAAAATGTGAACCTGGTTACTGACACTGACCTTCCAAGGTAGACAGTACTTCACGAGTCAAAGATGTACTCCCTTGTTAGAATCTATAGATAACAGGGAAAAATACAGTTGACAGTAAGTCATATTACAAAATTCCCCCCTTTTTGTAAAAGAATGTTTTCTCATAATCTTTGTGTTTTAACAAAAAATAAGTTGGAGATTTTTTTATAAATATATTTATATCTCAAGTAGATGATAAATGAATATAAAATTATAACTTATAAAAAAGATAAAATGTTATAAGTAATCATGCCTAAATATATGTTCTATAAAGCCCCAGTGTATTCTTATTTTGTGGTTTAGGATAAGAAAAACTTTCCTCCTGCAAACATTAGGGAAGTTATCTTTGTAGTGTTTTTAGTTTTTTAAATAGAAGAATATTTATGGGGAAGCATCATTACTATTAATTCCAGTATTGAAATCCAATAAAAGCAGAGATATAAGGTTGATTTGGGGCTAAGGGGAATAGAGAAGTCAGCACACTCCTCCTTTCTAAGGTGACCAGATTTTAACATTGGTAAAGTGGGACACCATTGACTGTGGGGGGTTCTTAATTAAAAATTTTGTCTATATGGAGCAACAAAATTTTTCTAGAATGCAAAAATAGTATTGTAATATATTTTTTAATTTCAACATAAGTATAATTTATAAATATAATACATTAAAAATATGTATAGTATTATTTTATTCTTTGGCATATTTCTTATTTGAGTGAATTTTTTTAATAGATTGCTGTCATTGTTTAGAAGATCATGAAATTTTTCACAAGAATTTGTTAAATTATATTTCACACATAAAATGACTTTCAAAGTCTCAACACTTAATTATGATTTTTCTGATGTCCACACTTTATTTACTGTAGAAAAAATGCATTCAGTCACAGCATTAGTTCCTAGTAAGGACAGTGCATATCCCGCAATTTTTAGTGCATTAGTGTATGGAACATGGTTTGTGTCAAAATGATGAAATATTTCTAACCATTTGTTCTCTATTGTGATTTTTGCTGATACCCAAGATTTAACTTTTTCCTTATCGATATATTTTTTTTAATAATGATACCTCGTGTCACTTTCAAGGCCGGTGCTAGACTTTTTGCTGCCACTATAAAATATAAATAATATGAGTACTGTCTGCTAAATTCATGAAATAAATTAATTAATTAATTAATTACCTAAATTATCTGAATAGCTGATTTGTTGGCATCACTTGTTTAACTAGCACTAGCACGTAGTACGATGTGTATAGTCTGAGAGACAGTTACAAAATGTTTTTATGGTTGCCTATGCCAAAAAATGCCATTGTTCTTTAAGTCCAAACAATGGTGGTCGAATTCTAACAATTGATCAACAATGCAAACTTTGATAAGCAGTTCTCGATTATTTGTTATTATTAAAGTTTAACATTATAAATTAACAAAAATAATATAAAACTCATATCCTGGTGAAACAGCCACATGGCAGCAGAAAATTGTATAGTCCCTTCCTGTTCTCCTGTCATTCCCTAGTTGTCGTGCATTCTTTCCAAAAATCAGGACTTTTTAAAAATTCCGCCGGACACGGGACAAATTGTTAAAAATTGGGACTGTCCCGCCAGAAGCGGGACATCTGGTCACCTTACTCCGTTCTCAGAGCCCCTCATCCTAACTTTAACAGTAAAGCTCTGTGGAGAACAGTTTGGACACGTTAGAGAACTGTTGAATTTGCCATCAAAAACAAGGAATGTTGACTAATGAGCATTTTCCAATGCCTGCCAATGTTCCAGTGAATAAGTGAAAAACACATTAAAATAATAAATGCATGTAAAGACAATGCTTTTAAGATTTGTTTCTAAATTTGATGAGAAATAATACACCTTTTACAGGAAACTGAAAGCTGAAGACAACCAGAGAGGTTCGAGAGGTCTAATGTGAAAATGATTGGTCAAGACACCTCCTGCCTGATGACACGTGACGCCAGATAAGATGTTCAGTGCAATCAGAGTGTACAAATTGTCGTTTTTATTCCTCTTATTGGGGTAGCATTCTGAAAATTTTATCGGGTTTCTATTGTTGCTGTTTGATCTCTAACCCTACACAGAAGCTCCCTGCTGTCCTCGCTGTGGGAACAAACCATTACACCTCACTTCCAGCGAGGAAAGTGTATTGACTTCTTGCTGCAGTCACCAGCCAGCAGGAAAGAACAAGAGTTCTTTTGCATTTTGCCCCTGAGATATGGCGTTGCACTGCTTATTTGCCAAGCTAATTCATAGCAAAGTATTGATCAGAAATACAAAGTTGATTATTCAACCTCATGCCAAGGGCTCTGAAAGCATCATCTTTCTATAACCAACTGCTAATGCAAATTAAAACATATTTCATTTTAACATGATTTTAAAATCAGTCTTTCGTGCTACCCTTTGCTGGGAGAAAACTAAAAAAATAAAGCAAATGCAAAACCACAAACAATTTGAATGGGGTAGACACATTGTAAATATATATTCTTTGCAACCCCTGGTGGTACTTTATTCTGTCTTCATTTCAATCACTGAAGTATATTCTTACTGGAAATATACTTTTGGATGAGTAGGGCTAAGCCAGTTGGATCTCTGGTTGTCTAGTCATTGTCATAAACACGCCTAATAAAACTTTGTCTTATTTTTCAATCAAAAACATATATAAAAACATATTGCAAACAAATGGATGTTTTTAATGATCAATTGAGTAAGGACATCCTGTCTTAACTGGCCTAAATTCCTTCTGGTAGTGTCAGTTCAACTTTCAGAAGTGCCACTTAAGGAAATTTGATTTTTGCTTTTGTAATGCACTGTTTTTAATCTTTTTTTTTTTTTTTTTGGTTTTAAAAGCACAATCACTAAACTTTATTTGTAAACCATTGTAACTATTAACCTTTTTTGTCTTATTGAAAAAAAAATGTTGAGAATCGTTTTTAACCTGTTTTGTTAATGCTCTATGTTTGTATTTGGAATATTTGAATGATGACAGATGGTGAAGTCATGTGCATACTTTATCGTGGACCATGAGCTCGATGGTTCTTGCTTTCCCTGGACTTAAAGAAAAAAGGTTTAAGTTTGTTGTGGCCAATGTCAAAACTCACAAAATCTCCTCAGAAGCTCAAATAGAGGCATTACTTGCTTTGAATTGCCAAACGATGCCCTCGGACTGTAGATTTTTATGATCCTTTTTTGTCGTCATATAAATTTCTTTGACTTAATGATGGGTGCTATTTGAAGAAAAAAATGTACATTTATTCATAACCAGGTATCAGGCCTGACCCCACTGGAAAACAAAGCCAAACAAAACTGAACCGCAAAAAAAGGCTGGTGTTTGCCAAAAATTCAATGTGTTCATTTAGATAAATCGAGAAGTTCCATAGAAAGGGTGTGCAGTGCTAAGGGAACAATCCATGTGAGTAATGTTTTCATTATGTTCATGTAAGAAGCCTCTTATTTTTAGCCATAATTTTGCATACTGAAAATCCAATAATCAGAAAAGTAATTTTGTCACATTATTTATTAAAAATGTTCTCAAATACATCATTCTTTCTTGCGTTGATTTCTTTTTTCATTGTGTGCTGATCAAATTTATTCCATTTAATCACAAAGTCGTTCTGTCTTAACATTCCACCTCAATATTATCAGATGAGTAAAAATCCTCAGTTTTATGAGTAACTAGGTTTTACTTGTAAGAAAGAGTTTTCGTTTACTCATCTGAAATTAGAGGAGTAAGATTCATCAAAATCTAGACGTCATCTGAACAGAGAGTAACTCTTTCATATTAAAAGTATACTATTTTTGTTTACTTATGTGTATCTGGATTTCAGTTAATCTATTTTTAAAATGATCAGTATTCAACTTTGATAAATCTGATTTGCAGTATGAGCCAGCTATGTTCTGTCAACAAGAAAACTATGTAATCCAAAATACTTATCAGTAACAATCTATTTTTTGTTACCAATTCATATGAAATTTTAACAATACCTATCATATACCACGTTGCACATTCTTATTTATTAAAGTCAGCATATTCAAGCATTCAATTTTGGATGGACAAAGTGAACAGTATGTCTTAGAATTACCAAGAACAATAGGATCTAATGAAGTTGTTTTTCCCATGACCTATGTATTATTCTTCTACCTAAGTGTTGTGGTCTTCAGAATTCTTCAGCAAATCTCAGAAAAGAAATTTAAAAAGGGAGGTGTAATTTGAAATTCAGTTTTATTAAAAAAAAAAAAAAAAAGGAAGTAATCACCAGCATCTACTTAGAGATGAACAAGTCCACAGGTCAAGAAGTGAGTTTTCAAAGGCTATTTTAAGAAAAGATTGGAAGGACATGTTTAATGACTTAAGTTTTCTCTTTCCCTTGGTTGGTTGACTATAAGTTACTCTCACTCTTTATTTACAGTATGTGATATACATACGACGTATACATATCACAGGGCCTGGGTTCGAGTCCTCGTTTTGTCATGGCTGTGTTTCCTTGGACATGTTACTTAACCTCCAAGTCTCAGGTACTTCACCTGTAAATTCAGTAATATCTACCTCATGGAGCTATTGTCATGATCTAGTAAGTTAATGTATATGATATGGACTCTGTAAACTCCCAGAACAATACAAGCTATTGTTGTATTTGTCGACTGAAATTCATTACACATGCAATCCCCACTTTTCATACATAGTTTGTTCCTTATACTTGCATGAAAGTCAAAGAATCGGTGTAACACAAGGATGAGGCTGTTTTCATTTCCGGTGAGTAAAATTCACTGTGAAATATCTAATCGTGGAATAAATTCTTGGTGTTTTAGTTTGCTTCATTGTTTGTGAATTCAAGGGTCACACAATGAGTGGTGATATGGTGTTTTCAGCACATATTTCACAATTCAGGCATAAAGACATGTCACTTGAGTTCTCTGCCTAGTGACTAAAAGTATAATCTTAGTTCCATGCGAACTCAGTCATATCTGGCCTTGGTGGTCATTTCAGACATTGTCTGGATTCCCTCTTTTCCCTCTCCACAGGGTGACATCTGAATTCCAATCTGTCTCCAGTGTAAAAAGTTGGAGGGTTCAGAGGGCAGGGACTTCTGGCATTGCTGTGGCCAGCTGTCCAGTGCTCCCTCCCGTGTGTCAGACTCTTCCTCTATATCCTCTTCTTCCAAATTGTGATGCTCTTTATTAGCCATTCACCATCTCCTGATTCTTCTATATCCTTTAATGTGGGCGCATTTAGGGAACAGGAAATGGGAATTTTCTATGCTCTTCTGTGCCATGCAAGGGCTCTAGAGACTTGGGACTTCCTCAGGGCCTCAGGAGATACTATTGTGTCTCTTAAACTACTCACCACATTTGGACTATGTGTTGGTTGAAGTGGGGAGTGAGAACTACTTATGCAGTTTTGAGGAAAGGAACCTAATAATTTGCATTTGGGGGACAATACCATGTATATTAAAAATAGTCTGGGCACAACTAACCCTACAACTCAAGTATAAGTGATGTATCTGCAACTGGAAGGAGTCTCACAGTCATCAGTATCTCACAATCAATTTCAGCCAGGCAACATCCTAATGTAGTTTTTATTGCTTAGAGTTAATAAAAATAAGTCTCATACAAACAGTAGCAAGTATGTGTCAAGCTTTTATTTACCTCATTAATAAGGGAAAAAACAGGAAGACAAAGAGCAGCTGTGGAAGGAAGTTCAACATGGTTGCTGAGCAAGGAAACTTTCTTTAGGGCAATACAAGCATGACATTCATATCTGCTGGTAGAGAATCAAAACATCTATTTTGTCATTTAGGTTAAAGAACGACTAATCAGAAGGACTACATGAAATCTTCCACCTTTCTAATTTCCAAATTATTAGTCAGAAATATACTTTGATAATTTACATTCACCCAGGAGAGTAAGATACGAGTTGAACAGTGGACTTATTCTTGTTCGTATTTCCCCAGAAGCAGAGTCTGAGGCAAAGACTTGGACACAGGTTCATTTGGGATGGAATCCCAGAAAGTGGGAGTGGGAGGAAAATAAAATAGAAAAAGCCGATACAGACACAGAATGCTTACTAGAACCTGTCACTGCAGGAGAGGAGCCTGGAGCACTATCAGCTACCGCTGAGTGCACGTTGATGCTGGGGCTTAACTCCCAAAGACTAGAGAGAAGACCAAGTGGGAATGGAAGACACTGAGGTGGAAAGCAGGCATGCATATGGCAGGTAATTGAGGTGAGAAGGTGTCAAGATGAAATTGAGTCAGAAATCACTGGGAACTGTTAGCCAGAGTGAACCCTCAAAGGCATCTAATACTAGCAGGATTCTTATGGGGTCAAAAATTAAGCAATTTTCAATTTACCTTTTTTTCAAATTTAAGATAAATTTTCTTTCATAATGTACACATATGAAATGAGTCATGTATTCTAATTATTTTCACAATGGTAATGTTCTCATCAGATGTCCATTGCTGGCACTGTGGGTATTGAATAGAACTGCCATTTAACATACTCTGAATGTTTTTGCAGTACCAACATTGAAACAGCAGAAGCAAAAAGTATGGAAACAGCAGTGGGATAGGAACTGGACCCTTAGAAGATTAACCACGATTGTGCATTTTCTGGTAAAGCAACAAGTTTTATAGTACCTAAGAAATAAATATGTCCACAATAATTAAAGATATATATTCTTGCACTCATGTGCATCACACAAAAAGCAAGTTAAGGGAGGTAAAATTTCCAAATCCTTCAGAATAACGTGAAAGACCTTTCAAGCACAGTTGAGGATATTGTAACGTAATGTGTGTGTGGTACAAGACTATCACTGAGGCATTACATCATAATTAAAATTGGTGGCATTTTCACAGTAGCACATAAGATAATGCTCTTAAATTCAGTGGAGTCATACATTTAATTAAATCCTGTAACATTTTACACAAGCGCATTGCCTTAAACTGGGCTTATATGGGGTAATAGTTACATAAATTGGGTACTGTTATAGACTAAATCTTTATTTTCTTCCTTAGCTTATATGTTGAAATTGTAACAATTGATATGACATTATTAAGAGGCGGGGCCTTTGGGAGGTAATTAGGTGGTGGTGGTGGAGGAGCCCCCAAGAATGGGATTAGTGCCCTTGTGAAAGGACCCCAGAGAGTTCTTTCCTCTTTTTGCCGTAACACAAGAAAATTTTGGCAGTCTGAAGTATGGAGGGGGACACTCACCAAAACTCAACCATGTGACACCTTGATCTCCAACTTCCAGCCTCCAAAACTGTGAGAAATAAATGTTTATTATTTATAACCCACTTGGTCTATAGTACTTTGTTAGAGCAGCTTGGACTGGCTAAGTTCAGATCTTTGGCATAATCACTAACTGCCATATAAATTAATCTCTGAGATTTTAGAAATTCTCCCTCCATTTGGGAAAAGCTCTGAACCCTTCAACTTCAAGTAAAACAGAGCTTTTAATGCCACTAATGATTTTAATGGCAGACTCAATTTTAGGAATCAATAACAGCAACCTGGGTAAGCAGGCCTCCTTTCCCTGCCCTGCCCCTCAGGGTCTCCTGCACCTTCAAGTTCTTTCCTTGAAGCTTTCACATCCTCCTTTGATGTCAGAATAGCCTGGGCTGGTAGTGCCAACAGGACCAGGTGCAGGAGCCCATGTAAGGATCAATGTGGGCTCAAGCCCCCTGCAAGAGGGAGAGGGTGATCCTTGAGAAACTTCAGAATTCAGAATGAATGCCCATCAGGTCCTGCTGAGGACTGCTGGCCTCTTGCTGCCAGAACTATGTCCTTGCTAGTGGCTGGCACTTCTTTTGTAGGATTGAATGAATTTATGCTACTAGAATGGTACTGACATACCTGATTTGGGATGACTTAAATTGGTATTTGCCTTGCCCATCAGCCTAGGGCAGCTACAAACATAAGGAAGTAGCCAGTTTTTAAACTAGCTTAGTAAATCCTGACTTTTGATATGAGATGTCTATTTAACAGTCTGCCTTATGTTTTGCACAATAAGCTGTTACATATTCAATGCCTTATCTACCTGTACCCTATAAAGGCTATGCACAAATCGTCTCTAAAAATGTCTCCTCCTTTTGTGTCTAAGAGTGAGTGTTTATATGGGCTTCTGTAATGTTAGTGGAGAGGCAATAATGAAGTAAATGACAAAATTATGTGACATATCAAGAAGCGCTTGGAAAGTGAAAGGCATTTGGAATAGCTACTGTGGTGAATACATAGGAAATAAATCATGAATAAATAGAGTACTGGGGGAAAATAGAGTCATTTATTGCATACCTGCTATAATTTCAACATATTATCAAATTGAATTTTAGCCCAACTTGGTGTGTAATGTCTAGTCTTAATCTCTTTTGACAAATTAGGATGCCAAGATTTTGAAAGAGTAGAAAATTAGCTGAAATTCACAATAGGGAGATATAAATAGAATGTGGATATAGATCCAGCTTCAAATCTGGTGCTTTTTGCAGAAATTAAAACTGTCTCTCAGGACTGCAAACCAAGCTAATAAACATTAAAACAACAACCC